AATGTACAAGCAAGATGTCTGTACAGCCGCCGGATCGTTTGTACCGTGCGGCGACAACCCCCCACCCCGCGGCCGCCGTTGTTTTCCCCGGGCGGTGCCCGGGAGCGGCTCAGCGGGTCTCCCCACAATGATCGGAGAGGGATTAAGCGGCTTCCAGCCGCTGATCTCTCCTCCGATCACTCGACCCGGAACTGATGTGTATTTTACATCACTTCCGGTGTCGATGTACACAGTCTCCGGCTCTTAGAGCCAGGAGATGAAGCTGGGGAAGCAGATGTCTCCTTCTTTGGGGTCCCTAGGTGACAGGGGTCTGAAAGACCCCTTATGTCTCCATAAAGAGGACCTGTCACACCCTATCTGCTATTACAAAGGGGCTTGTTAGCCCCCTGTGTAATAGCAATATGGTTAGTGTAAAAAAAAAAGTGTTTATTTTTTTGCATTTTTTAAATTTTTCTTAAATGTGACTTTAATTTTTAAAGTCCCCCACCCCCCACGTGCACGCACATACACACGAAAGCACGCGTCAGTGCGCCTACGTGCGAAAAATGACAATTGCGCTACACATGCTACATATCACCGCTAACGTCAGAGTGAGAGCAATAATTCTAGTGCTGTCAATCACTGTTGGCACTAAACTGATGAGCGGTAAAAGCGTTTAAAATGTTCCCTATGGGAAATTTTGGATATTGACTTTCACAGGCGAACGCAATTTTAAGGCTTGGCATGTTTGGTATCTATTTACCCGACGTGACCCTGTCTTTCATATTTTACAAAAAAATTGGGTATTATATTGTGTATCTGTGCACAAAATTTTAATTTAGTTTATTTTTTCCAAAAAATACTGGTTTGATAAACATTTGTGCAAAAACCGTGCAACATAAAAAATTGCAACTAGCATTTTTTTTATTCTACAGGACCTCTGCTTTCAGAACATATATAATTGTCTGAAGCTGTTTTCTAGCCAAAAATTTATATTTTGTCATGTGTGCGCAAATAGTAAGAAAATGCCCCAAACAGCAAGTGGTTAAAAAAGGTTTAAACGCTCTTTACAATATTTTTTTTTTTTCTGTGGATCTGGCTTTTTATTGGAATAAAAAAAAAAAGTTTTCTATTGACGTGATCCTCAGTGACTGTAACACACCTTGGAATGACGGTTGTCTCCACTAAGTAACATGATTGGCGTATTGCCTGCAGAGACGACTTGTAAAATCCCTTGAAGACCTGTGCTCTCAGTATGACCTGACTGTCCGGAGTTCCACTGGTGATATTATCCAGTTCATATATGGGGGTGATGGATTGGACCCTGCTGCCATGGAAGGAAAAGATGAACCTCTTGAGTTCAAAAGAGTCTTGGACAATGTTAAGGTAAGAGTTGTAGTTTTCTCATATTTTTTTATATTTCTTGGAATGGCACTATAAGTTCATATATCTGGGATGTCTGTTTAGTCAGCACAGCAAGGCACAACCAGGGAAACTGAAAATGACTTCTTCCACCTCTGTTTTACTTGTCCTGCTAGTGAGCTATGGTCTGTATAAAGTTAGCAGTTACAGTTAACTAGGTTCTTGTCGGACTGCTTAAAAGATTTTATTTCAGGTGCATGTAACCACTTAATGCACTGGCAGACGTGCATTTCCAATTTACCATTCGTTACACTGAGGAGACATCAAGAGTCTGTCCGCTCCCAAAGTCTGTGACCTTTTTAATGTTTGTTTATATAGTGCAGTGCTGATATTTCTCTCATATGAAAGCCAGGTACAAGCCAGATACATTTTTGGACCTGAGCTGTTAGTCACCAGGCTTGAACACTGTCACATGAGAAGGGTGATGTCATTAAGCCTGTTAGCCGCAGCAGCATCCAACACGGCGCTTACACTGGTTTTGGACTGCCAGCTGGAACATAGTGAACAGGAAAGTAATTTTAAGTGGCTGGGGGATTGTTCTTACAGTAGACTAAATGGGAAACGTGACAGTCCCTTTTAACATATGAAGGCACTGCATATATTTAATAATAATCCTGTCCAAATTATGAAGAGGAGTTGGCTCTCTGCTTCACTCAGTCTTGTTCCGCCTTGCTGTTGTAAGAGGGAAAAGGCCCCATGGGTCATGTGCACTGGTATTACAGATTTATTGGTCCGTAAACAAAAATAGTATTTCATACTTGATGGCATATGAGGGTAGGGAGAAATGGACTCAAAGAATTGTACTCGGAGTTCTCTATTGTCCATTGAAGGCCACAGTTTGATGATTAAGCACTTGAGGGGTGCCCAGAAGCAGTCCAAACAGAGGAACGGTCACACCCAAACAGGGGTAACCAGCCCAACAGGAACAAGCTTGAAACAAAGTGCAATATATAGCTTCATACACAACCTTTCAACGGGGGGGGGGGAGGCGGTGGCATGTGTTCTACCCTTGATTTCAGAAAATAAAGAACACAGTCCAGAAAAAGGCAAGTGGGAAAACCCTCAGACTCGTACGAGTAAAAATAAGCTTTCCATAAGTAAAGCTAAATCTTGCTGGAAATAGGTTTATGATTGGTAAAGCATGGTCAGGATACCTATATCTGAAATGCCTTTGTCTCTCAGAACCTGGGTTTCTACAGCCAAGCCACCAAAGCCAGTGAACGAGAAGCAGGGGACAAAAAGTCTGCATTATTTTGGCATACATCTACTGCTAGTAAGCAGTAGATGTATGCCCCATGATTTAAAAAAAGTAGGCAAATACTTAACTACTTTTTTTAATGTCACTTTAAGTCAGAATGCCTTGTGGATGTGAGTGAAAAAAATGGTTACCTGAGACGTGCACTGGCTGGCATCTAGTGCAGCGTCCTACAGAAAATATGTGACAATCATCTGGTTTAAGCAGTCAAAAAGTTGAGTGTTGGTACCAGCAGTCGGCAGATACCTGCTTAGCAGTTTAGACCAGTCACCCATAGTCTAAGAATTAAGTGCAGAGGGACTTAGGCATATAGCACTGCCGAGGTGTCTTTCCCCTGTGGGCGGCAGTATAACCCCTAAGTTGCTTTATCATCAAACGGAGTCCCTCAATGGTCGATAGAGAAACTTTCCAAATATGTTCTATAGAAGCAAGCAGGACATTGTGGTATTATCTGATTATATGCTTCTTCAGCTATTAGAATGAGATGAGATACTACAGCATTTAAAATTTGCTGCCAATGATATTCCCGATGATCTATAACCTTTTTTGTTTTTCATTTCTTGCTTTGTTCTAAGGCTGTTTATTCCTGTTCAAGCGAACCAGCACTAAGTAAGAATGAGTTGCTTTTGACTGCAGAGTCAATTTTGAAAAAGGCAGAGTTTCAGTCCTGCCAGGATTCTTATTTGCAGGTAAAGGGTTTTCTTTGTTTTTATGTTTGACCAGACAGTTACGGTAAATGAATTACATTTTTTTTGTTTGATGTTCATGGATGTATATTTCCAATGATTCCTAGACACATTACTGAAACTTGAAAGAACCAGGTTAATATTTGAGCTTGCAATCCTGTAACAAACAATTCAGCAATGTGGACACCTAGTTGACTGTGCCTTTATAAGTAACTGGTCTTGTTTCGTTAGCATTCGCTACCTAAAATGTAGCAATTAGCTATGCCACTGCAAAACACCATCCCAAAAATCACAAGACTAAACCATCTATTACACAAATCCCCTGTCCAGCCACCCAAGACACCATACTGGCTTCTAGTACCTGAGGGCAAACCCATTCCTATTTCATGACCCTAGTATATTTCTTCTCAAGGATACCATCGTACTGTCCTGTCCTGCGCTGCATAGGGGCCTAACTATCAGACACTTTTGATACCTGATATCCTCTCTGCAGGCCACCGCAGTGATTACTCCTCCATTGCACTTTCATTTTACAAGCCACCCATTGGAGACGGCTATAAAAACATGACCGGGCATCTGTCATAAAAGTTGTTGCCTTTTAATATCTTTGTGAGACTTCTTTAAAGTTTAATTTTATCCACCAGGAGATCAAGTGCACATAGCACATGGTCCTGTTCCAATCAGTGGCTACATTGTGGAATGAAAGCAACTGATGTTTATGCTAATGCTAGTTGTAGCTCTATTCCTCTTGGACTCTTCAGCATCGAGCTGTTTCCAGATTTGCAAGGCGGTTACCTTGTCTTCTGTTTACACATTTTCTAAGTTCCACAAGGTGGATGCTAAATCTCCTCTAATGCCAGCTTCAGGCAAGAGGTCCTTCAGGTGGCAGTCCCCTTTCTGTTTTTATTGGGTATTTTGAAGGTTTGTTTGCTGTTGCCCACCTTCCCGACTTGTGATGTCCTGACATTTAATGACATTACGTGTTCCTCAATGGAGAAGAAAAGATTAATTTTACTCTCCTTAAAAATCCTTTTATTGGAGTCTGCTCAGGGACACGGGTCTCATGCATCTTTTTTTTTTTTTTGGGTCATGCACATGGTACTACTTTGCTGCAAAACAGAAGTGTGCTGGTATTTGGAGGGGCTATTCTGGGCTGGATTACAACTCCCTTTTTGTTTGCCAGTGTCCATTCCTCCCTTTAACCTCAGTATAACCTGAGAGTTAATGTCTTCCTGTGTCCCTCAATGGACTCTAAGAAAAGGAACTTAAACTGTGCCTTCTTTGCACCATCTGAATTTTGGCCACTAGGGATGCACTGATACTAGTATCGGTGCTGATACCGAGTATTTGGGAGCATACTCTTACTCGCCCAAATGCTCCGATACTTCTGATACCAGAACTTCTGGTCAGAGCATGGAGCCGGCTTCCTGATTGGCTAGGAAGCCGGCTTCACTTGTTAGGCAGCCTTGCTTCCTGCCCAATCAGGAAGCTGGGAGGCCGTTCATGACTTGCTGCGCGGCTTCGTGATTGGTCGAGAAGCCAGCTTCCAATCAGGAAGCTGGGAGGCACCTCATGATCCACCTCCTGGCTTCCTATTTGGCAGGAAGCGGGGCCTAGGGAAGTGAAGCTAGTGTTCTTTCGATAGAACACTGGCTTTCCAGGCAATCGGGAAGCTGGGCGACGGGTCATGATCCGCCATTTGGCCTCGTGATATTAGGGGGGGAAACCTGCAATGCAGTGGTGTGAAAGAGCCATGTCATTTCTTTGAAAAATGATGCATCACTTGTATTACCTTGTTTAGCATGCCGCCTTTGTCGTTTGGTCATTTTATATAGTGTAATGACTGTCAGTTGTACAGAAATGAAAATCGGCTTTCCTGAAACATTACGCTTTTACTTTATTCCATTTTTCCTTCTTCTACCACATATCAAGTCTCTCACAGATACAGGTTACAGACATTATTATGAGGTAAATGTAGAATGGAATGAAAATTGCACCATGTGTTCACCTACTGCATTTCTGTGTGCATAGAATAGAATTAGCAAGTGTGTGTCTAGCTAGTGTTGCCCTCCCCTGCCCACAGAAGGAATGCACCCCACAATGTTCCTCTCAATGTTGAGTGAAGTGTCCCTGGCTTGAATTCTGGCAATGGACTTTACAGGTTTCTGACCTTTTTGTGGGAAAATCTCCACTCACCTTTAGAATTCCCATGATGACTGATGTACAGTTTCTTTACCACTGGCCAACATGCTTTCTTCCCAAGAATAAACCTTTTAGAATGGTGGCACAGGAACACTGATATGTTGCTGCAGCATTCTCCTGTCTGTTGCTTGTCCATGGAAATTTTATATTAATCACTTTGGCTTAAAATCTTTTTATGGTTTTGCAGCTAAATTGGGATAACACCTATTTTATATTTGTTACATGTTCTTTTTCAAATATCATATATTGCTGCTTACGTATTACTTGTTTTTACATGTTAGTTTCCTCTAAACTGAATTTTCCTATGCAATGCAAGGGGGCCAGGGAGGTTACCATAATTAACCCTGTTTGCACTATGCAGACTGAAGCTGGGGAAAAAAATGTTGCCTACTGTTCTGCATTAAAACGTACTCTTTTGCTATTTAAAAATAAGAAAAAAAGCTCTCCCTGCAAAGAAAACCATTTATACTTGTCTTACCTTCTCCGCCAACCATTGCTGTCTTAATTAGGTTGGCTTGCTAGTAGATTAGGCACTCTTCCCTGTGTTTGATGTCCTGTAATAATGCAGGGACGGATGGCTAAAACCATGGTTTGCAGCGGGAAACAGACTAGACGTCTCCGGCCAAAATCGGGCCGGAACGCACTGCACCCAGTGTGAATGAGCCCTTAAAGTTACTGCTGACTGGTATAAAGGTGCCATGGATTTCAGTGCTGTTGCTAGGTTTAAATGCAAAACATTTCTCATCAGGCAATGCTTCAGCATTTCTGAACGACAAATGAGTACCAGCATTTCATTCATTAGCTATTGAGTTCTAGTAAATGTTTGAATCTGAATGAAAGATATTGCATAATATGGCCATCACCATGCTCACATTAGGACAAAGTAACAAGTTCTTTTTAAAGAACAAACCCCAACTTGCTGATACTTTCACCATGCTTTACTGCTGCTGCGTGAGAGCACCTAAAGGGGTTCTAAACCCTCCAGTCTTTATGCCTATATCTACTGCTACCAAGCAGTAGATATAGGCATAACGTTTTTGTTTTTTTTAAACCCGCTTTAACATCGGTTTAAACTCACCGCAAGGTAAATCTTTGGACGCGTGCACCCGCATGCAGACACCGCTGGATCGGAAGTGCCAGCAAGGACAGAGGAGTCGGCGCTGGATCGGAGAGATGCCGCAACCGCTGGAGGGACAGATGAAAACATCAGGAAAGATCGGATTAAGAGACATCATTTAAGGTAAGTGCTGACATTAACATTGGGTGGAGGGACATTTTTTGTTATCCTTTTAATGTCACTTTAAATAACAGACAGTGCTCCCGTGAAGTGGGAACATGTGACCCCCCCCCCTCCCAGGAGGCTGTGTTCAGGCCTGGCTAGCCTATCACCAGAATTGTCACATGAGGGAAGAGAGGAAGTATTTTTGAAAGTCATGGAGTCCTGACTCCTATGGAGGAAGGGAGTTGTGGGGCGAAGGTAAATGGGTGGGGGTTTTTTTCTTTCAAGAGACTGTCACGTTATCTTGTTTGGGTGAACTGACACTCTTTAACTATCCCAACTGCAAAAAATTACATGGGACCCCTTGTGACTAGAGCACCTTGTCCAATAAGTGAGGTTCCTTTCCTGTTTTCACTTAAAATAACCAACAGTTTTGCACCATGTTGCTTACCAGGAACCCCACTCTGTTACTGCCCTTTTACACTTTTTGACCAGTATTTCACAAGGTTTTACTTTGTGGAGAAAATGGCATTGTCTAAAGTGACTTCTGTTTATGGGAGATAAAAGCTAGGGTCTCTGGAGGGGATTAGATCTCTCTTCTGGGATCCTGGAGAGGTTTAAAGTAAAGCTTAGGGAGTACAGATTCTGTATTGCTTACCATGCCTTTTAAAAATGCAACGTGCCTGGCTGTCAGGCTGACTTTCCTTTCTTCAGTGCTTTAAGTCAATAACCTGGTACAAGTATGCTAATAGGGTCTCCTAGCTTCCCTTATATTCGAAAATATGCCAGTGGGTTAACAAAACTGCCAGTCAGCAGGGGCAGCCCCTGTATTTTTCTCATGCAGGTTTATTTTGGATAACTGTGGGAGATCTCTTCCACTAGCATTAACCCAGAAGCTGAAGTAAACAGTGTTCATGAGGACTCAGGATTTTCCTCTTCTATTATCCTGAGCTGCATACAAGACAAGCTTCATTGGAGCAAATGGGAGCTGAAGCTTCTTTTTTTTGTTTTGTTTGGTTTTTGTCTTTAAACTGACAGTAGCAAATCTTATTTGCACATTGTGCAAATGAACTCTTGGGAACTAGGTGAAGGGTGTTTGCTTTTACATCTAATACACAAGATCACATGATCAGAAATATTTGATAATGGTAATCTAAAAACTTACAGGAGTTAGCCATTGAATGGATATTAGAGATGGGAACTGGGCCTGTGCATATTGGTACACTGTTACCATTGTTCAGTTTATAGCAGTGTTACTATATAGAGTAGCTAAAGTATAAATAAAACCATATGTCGTCTTCTTGTACATTAAATGTCCATATATCACATAAAAAAACATCTAGGTTTGTTATCTTACTTTCTATTGACAGTGTGGTTTGATTATGCTTCCTCTAATGTATGTGTTTCTGAGAAAGTGCCGTAATTGCTTTAGCATTTTCATTCCCAAACGCCTTTTAATCTTCTCTTGTATTTGGGAATAAAATCTGTTTGGGCATATGTATTCTGTTTCAAGGTTGGGAATGTACCAGTGTTTGTCACACTCAGGCCCTGTCTCCAAGCTCATTCTTTCTGATCTACAAACATGTCACAGCCAAAGGATACTTCATAATCTAATGTGGTTTAGTTTAGCAGCGCACTACTGACTGCATGTTGGGGTTTTCTTGGTGTTTTTTCAGCATGCTGTAGTGTTGGCAAGTAACTTTTTGTCCGCTTAAACTCCATAATCCAGTGTTCAACCTAGTAGATTAATTTTTTTATGCAGATGTGGAATTGGCAGATTTAAATATTCTATCCTAAATCCTGGAAATATAAGCCTATCCTGATGTCATTGCTGCATATGTGATGTGCTGATTTCTCATTCACCAGGAAATAAAGAAGTTTGTCAATGAGATATCGGAAAGGATAAGGAAGACCAGAGATAAATATGGAATCAATGATAATGGAACCACAGAGGTAACCACGTGTCCTGTTGCATATCTTGTGCAGTGTATCAATTGTGAAGAGCACCTAGTGGCATGTAATTTACCACTGGCCTGCCAGGGGTGTTTCTCCATGGGTTCAGCAAACCTGCAGTTTAATTAGAAGACTGCATAACCGATCAAAGGTCATTAGGGATGTAGTTTAAATGATGAACTGATAATGCAAATACTCTGCAATCTGTACATAAGATGTGTATTATCGGGTCGCTCAGCGCACCACTGTTATTATGAATAAAGTCTTAAGATTTTGTAAACTGGATAGTAGTCAGCTGTCCTATAATGAACTCGAAATTTCCTAGCCCAGCCTAAAATGGTTCTACGGTCCAATTTTATCAAAGCTGGATGAAACTGGCGTTGGTAATGTAATATTTTCCAAGTCAACCAGTCTGATTCCAGCTGTAATTTTTCTACTAAAACATAGGAGATAAAAAGATGCCATCTGGTCCTGTGTGCAGTACACTTTTTTTTTTTTTTTTTTTTAAATGTTCTGAATGTGTGCTTAATAATCAGATTTATAAACCATTACTAGTGCTGTGTATTGCGTATTAAATAAAAATAAAATGCTAAGAGTACTAATATTAAACTGTATAATCCTTCAGTTTTCTACAAGTATATGATCTTTGCAGTGGGTTCTGCACTCCTGATATTTGTCTTGGCTTCAGTTCTGGTGGTGGAGAGGTCTGTGTTCCAGACGCAGCCCATTTTCCTGCAAATTAACTGTAGAATGAACTAATCTGTTGAAATGTGTAGGTTATGAACATTGTACATAGCTTGGTTAGAAGAATAATTGAACTGTTCTTAAGCCATATTAATGTAAACATGCATTAACAACCCCTTTTAAACATTGTTTATTGCTTTCCATTTCATCAGTCACAACAGCATGCAATTCATTTCTAGAAAAGCATAGTGTTCCCATTCCTAAGTGCAGTCTTGAAGTGCACTTGTTCAGGACTCCACTCTCTGTACAAAGGCATATATTTGGTGGTGTGCTTTTCTTGGAGTTAATGGTACTAGTCATTTTGCACAGTGAGATTTGGGATATGGTAGAGTTCCTTCGGCTCTTGAGATCCTAATTTCTACTTTTTTTTTTTTGCAATCTCAGCAGACATCTTTATTTTAGCCCTGCCCTTGAAAAAAAAATGGAGATGAATGTGTCCTAAATTTCTATCCTTCCTGCCCCAATTGTAAGCAGGGTCCTTGCGTTTCTAATGCTATGTTATGGAAATGTCCAATGATTGTGTGATTTATTAAAAAGGTGTACTGGCTCATTCGCAACAACAAATTGCATCTCAAATATGAGTCGGCAGCATGGGCTGTTTAAGTTCCTAAGACATAGAAGTGCTTACACCACAATCTTTGTCAAGAGCTCTTTCGTTTTAAGGGGTTACCCCCTTTGGTGAGGAAGCAGGCACCTCGGATTCGGATAAGCATATCTTTGAATTTAGACATTTTGTCAATTTTGTCTCCATTTTGGATTTCTTCTCACTTTGGAGAGAGATCCCTTTACTTCATGTTGTTTTCCTCAGAGCCAGGAAGTAAAGGGGAATAACCCCACTGCGGGTCACAGCAAACAAAACAAAAAAACACACACTGGTTTTAACCATTCCCTAGCCAAGACTATAAAATGTTTTTTGGCGCCACTTTAATTGTCAATAATAAACACATACCACATTTTTGTAGCACTATGTGTGCGTCGCCTACCAATATGTAACGTGTACAATAGCTCCAGGTCATTACTGTATCTCAATATAGTTTTTTCAATCGTATTCTTTATCTTCATGTAGCCCCGGGTGTTGTACCAATTGGACAGGATCACTCCTACTCAGCTGGAAAAATTTTTGGAGACTTGTCGGGATAAGTATATGAGGTAATGTGTTTTTTAATTTAAAATATATTAATCTTAAAATTCATATTTTTCTGAGTGATGACATTGTTCCATGTCTCCATTTTTGACAATAAAACTCTGTATCTGGTGAGTAGTAGCGTTAACATTTTTATCTGAGAAGGATGAAGCTATAAATCTTATTTTACAGCAGTTATATAGGTGCAGAGTTGTCTGATAAATATAGTGAATATCTAGCTACAAATCACTGGTGTTATATGAATTTCAACCTTCATCCGCTTGGTAAATGCTAAGACTGGCAGTTTTGGAGCCAGCTTCAAGTTCTTTAATAAAAGATGACTCGTTCCACTTGAGAGCTGTGAAGTTGCTGGAAATGACAGGCTAAACTGATTGCAAAATAAAGGAAATCAAACCTTAATAAAATACTACAATGTGTCTTGCTTTTTTGCTTTTTCGAGCTCACGTGCATACCTTTTTATTTGACCTATGGCAGGTAGATTTTATCCAAAATAAAAGCTGAATGCCATTGCATTTTATGAAAGAACAAAACATTGAGCAGGTAGTTATGCAAGCTCATGTCTTCGCCTTCTTTCTTCTTCTCCAAAAAATCTATTTTTAATTCCATGTGGTAATGCAAAAATATAGGCAAAATGCCCGTGGGGTGTGAATACTTTTGCAAGCCACTGTGCTTCCGTAGCCCTCCCAAACCAGAAAACCCCCACTATCACCTCAGCAGACAGCCACAGCTTCCTTAGCTGTTTACACAGTCTTGGTAGGGATGTATTCCAAGACCAGATGCACCTAGGACAGAGGCTGTAAACCATGTGGGATGCTGCTGCAAGGTGAGGATATGTAGGTTTGTTTAGATTAGGAGGGCTAGCTAGGGTGGAGTAGTTTACTTTGTACTAAAAGTGAAACTGTCCTTTAGTCATATGAAAGAGCAATCTGTTAAAGAAGACAAGCAATCAGGCTAGGTTTGCTAATCCTTTTCTGGCATATGGACAGGTCTGTCTGAATTCATCACAAAAACCTTAATAGCACTGACAGATCTGAGTACTGGCTGTTCTTGGCTTTTATCTCCATTGGACAGCAAGGTCAGCGCACCACCCTGTTTCTGAGCTGAGGCTTCTCAGAAACTCCAACACTGGCAACTTGGCCTCACTAGTGTGTTATCTAATATTATTTATTGACATTAGGGGGCTAGTTTGTGCAGGCTACATCAGTCCTAGCAATGGGTCTTTCATTTCTTTCCTCAGAGCACAGATGGAACCAGGTTCAGCAGTGGGTGCTCTCTGTGCTCAGAGCATTGGAGAGCCAGGAACACAGATGACCCTGAAAACGTTCCACTTTGCTGGTGTTGCTTCCATGAACATCACACTGGGTGTTCCACGTATCAAGGAGATCATCAATGCCTCAAAGAACATTAGGTATGTGTGCCTACGTCATTTATAAATGTTTAGATTTAATAGTGATATGATGCTATTACATGGGTAGTCTGAATCTGTGACTGGCTATGCTATAGATCATGAATAAAGCTAGCAAGTATATTTATTTTTTATTAAAAAGCAATCTGAAATGATGGAGGTCTGATTTAGATTAATGTCATGGTTAATATCACCTGTTATTTCTTATTCAAATGCCAGCTCGAACAGGGAATTAACAATAATTTTGCTTTTTACTTCAGCACGCCAATCATTACTGCTCATCTAGATAGAGATGATGATTCTGACTTTGCCCGTCTGGTGAAAGGTAGAATTGAGAAGACTTTATTAGGAGAGGTAAGATGTTTTGTGCTTTTGCCTGTAGTAATGCCACTCTCACGAAATGGGGTGTGTTGGTGGTTTGAGTCATATGTTCTATAAACCTATATTGTTTAGATCAGACATTTTTGTGGAAAAACGCTTAATTCAAGTGTTAAGACTTCAAATACAGATCGTATGTTTGGCATTCAGTTTTGCTTTGTATTCTATTTTGCCAGGTGCTGATGTTTTACATTTACCCAGATGAGAATCTGGGTAAATGTTAAACATCAGCACCTGGCAAAATTCATATGTTGTAGGACTAAACCTGTATTTTGATCTCTCAATGTGCTTTTTCTGTGGCTGTAGACAATGTAATGCATGTTTTTTAAACCCAATGGGTGAACATTTAATTAAAGTGACTCTGCCACTTACCAGAAAAAGGAAAAAAAGCTGCCAGAGTTAATAATGGAATGCTGGATTCCCTTTATATGTGGGAAGTCCACCGAGCGCACTCGGAGTCCATTCCTTTCTATGTGGGACAGCACCTTACCTGTTCTTGTTCCATATGTATATAGGGTGCATCTCCTAGTGTCCCAGGAACTGCATAGATAAAGGTGAATAAGTACACTCTTGCACAGTAGCCCTCACTTCACCCAGATAGCTCTTGAGTGAAAAATGCTTTCAGTATAGATTGCCTTCAGTGCTTTTTTTTGATGCCCTGCTTTTATTTTTAACTCCCAATGCCAGATATCGGAGTACATGGAAGAGGTGTTTCTTCCTGATGACTGTTTCCTCCTGGTGAAGCTTTCATTGGAACGTATTCGCTTGTTGAGGCTTGAGGTAATGGAATCTAAATATTGCAATTTTTTTATGTAAGAGACCACTGTGCGCTCTCTTTTTATGAAAATGTTTCTGGATTTCTTTTTAAGGTGAATGCTGAGACTGTAAGATACTCCATCTGCTTGTCTAAGCTCCGTGTTAAGCCAGGAGATATTGCAGTACATGGAGAGGCTGTGTTGTGTGTCACACCAAGAGAGAACAATAAGAGTTCCATGTACTATGTCCTACAGTCACTGAAAGAGGAACTACCAAAGGTGAGAGCACTATTGATGTAAAAGTTTACCAGACCTGTGATTTTAGTCTACTCTACCAGTGGTTGTAAAAATAAATAAGATTTAACAATGCGAATGCTTGTCTAGTAAATGGCGCACTCCTTTACACCTTGATATCACTTAAATGGAACCAGTTATGTATGGAGTCTACGAGGCACCTGCCACAGTGAATCTCAGCAGTGTGCTGTTTTCCGAGATGTTGCAAATTTATTTTGTTTTTGTGGATCTGACTAAAAATGGAAATATTGTAATGTAAGTGGACAAAAAACTGGCCTGATTTGAATCCATTTCTTTTTATTTGTAGGTGGTGGTTCAAGGCATTCCTGAAGTGTCACGTGCTGTCATTCATATTGATGAACAGAGTGGAAAAGAAAAGTACAAACTTTTAGTGGAGGGTGATAATCTCCGTGCTGTCATGGCTACCCATGGGGTTAAGGGCTCACACACCACTTCAAACAACACCTTTGAGGTAGGCTTCTAAGTTACCATGCTCCGCTATCCATTAAGTTAAAAGCCTACCAGCCTGCTTATGTTTTTGTTTTTTTTTAAAACCAATTTCACAGTAACATTGCTCTAAAAAGATTGTGCGAATAGAAATTGGGAGGTGCCTTCACCAGCCTCTTGCCATCAACCATTATATGGATTCTATCCCAGAGTTTTGCTTAACCCCCTTCATGACCGAGGCCTTAATTTTTTATGTTATAATCCATATCCTAGGCCTGAAAATTACTTAAAACCCCCAAACATTATATATTTTCTGAAAGCCAAGACCCTATAGAATAAAATGGTGGCAGTTGCAAATTTTTATGTTGCAATATTTTAGCGCAACTCCTTATCAAACCCCATAATTTAGTAAAAAATGCAATGAAATGCCCCAAAACACAATTAAATACCCATTTTTTGTAAAAATCAAATATAAAAGATGAGGTTACAACGAGTAAATAGATACTCAACATGCCCAGGTTAACTATTGTGTGCGTCCGTGAAACTGCGACAAAGTTCAATACCCCAAAAAGTCCATACACAATGCTTTAAAAGCCCCCGAAGGTCATCAGTTTAGAGATGCGCATAAATATTGGCCTTAGAATTATTGCTATCACTCCGGCGTGCGCCGCGGTACCCAACATGTGTAGCGTAATTGTCGTTTTCATACATAGGCGCACCGACTCATGTTAACGTGCATGATGTTGACGTGCATGCTAGCTGCGGGCAGGGACTTTAAAAAAAAAAAAAACATTTATTTTTACACTTCATTTAATATTTTAAAAACTTATTTTTAGTTAATTTTTTTTACTTTAATTGCTATCACATGGGGGGGGTTGGGCAGGTACTCTTTAAGGTTATATTGGGGGGTTCAAAAGACCCCTAGTATCACCTTTACACTTGAAATAAGCTATTGAAGCAGATCACACTTCAATAGCTGATCGCTAAGCTTCAGGAGCCCAGCGATGGGACTGGAAGTGATGTAATCTGCATCGCTCCCGGTCCCATATGACAGGGAGGAGATTGGTGAACAGACATTCGCCGATCTCCTCCCCAGCTTCCCCGACACCAGAGAAGCCGGTCCCTGAGCCGGAGGAGGGGCAGCAGAGCCCAGTAAACACGGCAGAGGGGGGGGTGTTGGCCTGTTTACCAGCCCATAGAAGCGATCTAGCGACATCTGAGTCACCAGAATCACTTGTATTGTAAAGCTGACAGTCGGCTTTACAAATGTAAACAGAGTCCCAGCGGTGACTCTGTTTAAACAGGCCCGATGCCAGTGACGTACACTGTACGTTACTGGCCATGAAGGGGTTAAAGTAACTTTGAATCCATACACCTTGAGATGATCGTTCGATTTCCAAACAAAATCCGGTTTTCGTATGATCAGCCAGTTTGATGGGAAGTGAACAATCGGAATTACAGTACAACTGGCCGAATTTAGTCTATCAGGCAGGCCATAAAACTTTTTTTGAATGGTACGAAAATCCATAGATTAGTGGGGTTTTTGTACGAAACAAATCGCAACATAAACACTGCACATGTGCAATCGAAAATCCTGTACTTTTTGTCGATCGATCGAAATTCGGTCAGGTAGCATTGCTAACGAATAATGATTAAAATCCACATTGGTCTGTGCATGATGGGGCAGTTGTGCGGAAATCAAATGACGGTTCGATTACGGTACGAAAAAAATCAGATCCACCAAAACTAATGATCTGCAATCACACATATAAACAAGCGACATAGTTCGCTTTTACCACCCTGGCAAAATAGTGCTGTTTTATGGCAAGATTGCGAGCTAATTTCCACATTGACATGGAAGGAAGAATTCAACTATTTATTGCTCATGTAAAGCAATTCCTTGCTAATTTTTATATATAATACACAATTAATTGTATTGTACTACCTGTTAATGATTACACTTATTCTGTAAGATGGTATGTTAATTGGTATTATGTGTTTAGGTGGAAAAGACGATCGGTATAGAAGCCGCGCGCACCACCATAATAAATGAGATCCAGTATACCATGGTGAACCACGGGATGAGTATAGACAGACGTCACGTCATGCTTCTGGCTGATCTGATGACTTACAAGGTAGGCACAGACCCCATTCTGATCGGCGTGAATGTTGATGTAACATTTGTCATTTATAGAAGGTCTGCAGTCAGGGCCGCGTTTTCTCCTTTTATACAAGAACCATCTTGAATGTGTAATGATTATGGGCTAATTTCTTACATTTTGTTCTTTCAGGGAGAGGTGCTTGGTATCACTCGCTTTGGCCTGGCTAAGATGAAGGAAAGTGTTTTGATGCTGGCTTCTTTTGAGAAGACCGCTGATCATTTGTTTGATGCAGCTTATTTTGGACAGAAAGATTCTGTTTGTGGTAAGTAGTGTGGCATTTGCTTTTTTCTTAGAGGACTTTGTATTAGTTTGGGTTGTCCACATTTTTTTTTTGTGTTTTAAGATCTACTTTTCTAATGACAAGCTCAATGAGATCTACCAACGAAAAAAAAAAAAACTGGGTTCAGATGGTTCGTACTACATTTTCAATAATTTCTCTCACTCCCCCTGGCTGTCTCGCCTTGCTCTCTTTCTTGCTGTTTTTCTCTCCCTCTTTCTTTCTTGCTCTCTTTCTCGTGCTCTCTCTCTTTACCCTGTCTCCGGACTGCCTAACAGTGATGGGATTAGCCAGCTTGTTTAATGAACACACTAGGGATAGTGGCATGACACTTGCCAGAAAATTAGAAAAGCAAAAGGACATCATACTCTCAGGCCACTTCCAGTGCCTTCCAGCACGGTAGGGAATGCACTGGATCGCCTACTTTAAAACTCTCTGGGGGAGGTGGGGGGCCCAAAACCCCCATTCCACCCAACCCGCAGTGTGATCGGCCATTCTGGTCCGGTGCGATCGCTAAAAAAAAATTGTACAAGCACTATTTTTTATTATTTAATTTTGATTTTTAATCGCTTCGGAACGCAGGCATTGCTGTGCCACGCATATTGGTGTGGGCAATAGCACTGCAAGCAGGGGGGATAGCTGCTGTGCCATTGACTTGAATGCACCGCCATGCCCCAGAACACAGAGAGCCTTAAAAGTATGTGATCAAGTGCATTCCAGCAGCTAACCTTGCTGGAACGCACTGGAATTGGTGTGAACGGGCCCTCAGACTGGAAAGGCTCCTGTACAGTAAATAGGATGGAAAGATGATATCATGACTGCTGATGGGGTGCTGTGTAATAATACAAGATGCTGACAGTCCACAGTGTCCTCGAACACACAATACCTCCCTAGACTCGGGGTTACAAATAATACAAAATTATGTTTTAGCTGCTCTTTATAAAACGGCCTACTGCCTCTGTTATGTAGGGTAGGTATAGGTGCATGGAGGCAGGGCTGTGTACAGATCACAGTACCTTGGTGGTCCCGATATGCTCAGTGTATGCTGTGTTAGGTGAGATGTACCATGCACTGGGTGCAGCCTGGTCAGCCTCTCCTCTGCTTGCTGCCACTATATCTGAGAGACGCTTCCTGGTGCTATAAACCAGGAGGCTTACAGTACTGTGCCTGGGCTGCAGCGGCGCCGAGATCGCGTGAAGTGCCTCCTTCAGATCAGTGGGAAATTGCATAACGCATTTAGCTGCACTAGAACTGAGGGAGGGAGCTCAGGACTTTGAGCCGGCTTGCGATGGCAATCAACCTAATGTGCACCCCTGCATAAGGCCCCATTCACACCTATGCGTATTGTAATATGCGCGTCTGTCGCGCGGTTTTTTTACTGCGATTCGCGGTAAAAAAGTCGCGCGATTCCAAAGGCTACTTGGCAGTATCCAAATGGAAAACGCCCTACAAAACGGACCAATACGCAGCAAAAACGCTCCGGGACCTTTTCATGTGTGGGCCGTTTTGTAGTGCGTTCGGGACGGGCGGAAATACGGACAGGTGGGAACGATACCATTGACTACAATGCTATTTATTTTTTTGACCGTTTTGTAGAGCGTTCATCGAGCGTAGGACGCACTACAAAACGTTCAGGTGTGAATGGGGCCTTAGTTATATTGATGTTTTCCTGCAATATATACCGTATTTTTCGCTCCATAAGACGCACTTTTTTCCCCCAAAAGGAGGGGGAAAATGTGCCTGCGTCTTATGGAGCGAATCCCGACGCCCGAGACATGCAGTTTCGGGCGCCGGGCGAGTAGTAGGAGCCACTGCTCGTTTAATACGAGTGATCTAGTGAAATCACTCGTATTAAAGCCGAGCGGCGGCGATCTTATTCAGCAGTAGGAGCCACTGCTCGTTTAATACGAGTGATCTAATGAGATCACTCGTATTAAAACCGAGCAGCGGCAACGATGGAGATCACCATAGAGCAGACGAAGAACGGACTTTCTTCGTCTGCTCTGTGTCATCACTGAGACCGTGGCGCTGTAATCACAGCGCTACCTGTCTTAGCGGTCACTAACTGCAGCTTCTGTCACAGCTTCTGTCATAGAAGCTGTGTCAGAAGCTACAGTCTGTCGAGTGCTCCATAAGGCGCGCCGGACCTCCCTGCGTCCTATGGTCCGGTGCGTCTTATGGACCGCAAAATACGGTAAATACTTTATAGATTCATATACAGTAAACTCCCCATTATCCATCTTAAGCAACCTGCAAAAAAAGCTGATTTCTTGGTGCACACTAAAAAAAAATTCCTGGCATCTAAACTTATTTGGTTACTAACAAAATTCTTTGTTTACATCTTGCTGTGGGCCTGTGTTCTGTCCAGAGTCAATTCATTGAAATCTCCAATTACGTCACTTCCGGTCACTGGCCAGCAGGAGATTCGTGCGCATGCCTGACAGCGTAACACTAAACCAGGAGGATTTCTATAGCACAGAATAGCGCACTAACAACTCACATGTCCAGTTCTCCAACACCTTCTCATGTGCACTGACAGCTGTTGGAGAACTGGACGACTATTGTGAAAATGTGGCAGTACAGAGCTCCTGTAAGAGGCGTAATTGGAGATTTCGATGAATTGGCTTTTTGGACAGAACCCCCCAGCGGCTAGATTCTGCAGTTGGCAGTAGAATGTAAACAGATCAATAGCCAGCCTGCTATTGGTTATTGCAATAGCCAATAGCAGGATGGCTGACTAGTGTACCCATTCACTGAGCAGAGGAGCGGACCTGAGAGAGAACTTCCTCTCTCAGTTCCACCCCTGCTCAGTGGGTGGGTTGCTTGAGAGTTGACTCAAGCCACCAGAAACTACAGTTATAATGCATCTACCGATTCCAGTGGGTGCCAGATAATTGGGAGTTTACTGTATACATACACCTTAAAGGACAACTGTACTTAAGCTAAACTTGACATACTGGTACTCACACTCTCTTGTCTTTTCCATTAGGAGTCTCCGAGTGTATTATTATGGGCATACCAATGAACATTGGAACTGGACTTTTTAAGCTTCTGCACAAAGCCGACAAGGACCCTGATCCACCTAAGAGACCATTGATCTTTGATAACAATGATTTTCACCTCCCTATCACTAGCACGTAGTTGAAAGTTCAAAACAGAAAAACAAAAATCCTCAAAGTGCTTTCAACTCCACCGATTTATTTCATAAGAGGAACACAGTTAAGCTTTCTAAAGCTTGAGCTTTAATAGTCTCCTTTTATAAATAGTTGTATGTATGCAGACAATTTTGTGAATAGGACAAACAGAAGGTTATGCTGCTTAACATTGTAACATAGTTACATACCTTGGTGTGACTAACGCTTGTGAAATACTGAGTGTATTACAGTTTGTTACAACATAAATCAGTTTAGGAAACTGATTAATAATGTAAATAATGGAATGTATAAATTTGTACATTTAGTTGTGTAGCATTGAGATTGCATTGTGAATGTTATATGCTGGAATATTTATTTAGAGTTTATTTAAAAATGTCACACTTAGAATTGTCTTGGTTTGAAAATTGTAATCTTGCAGCTAGATGACTTGGCTATTCCGTAAAGTGACACTAAACTCAGGAGTTAATCATAAAAATACATTAAAGTACCATAACTATTAACAAAAATGTATCTTATTTGATTATCACTCAGCTGTAGATCCTCAAGTCATCTCTGAATTCATGCGGACACGGTCCTTCCTTCTGGAGGGTGGCTACATTTGTTCCCCATTGTCCCTGTGTGTGTTGTAAAGTAGCTATTACTCCAAGCTCACTCCCCATGATGGACTACAATCTCATGTTTAGTTTACTAATTTGTATTGAGATTGTAAACTATAGCAGGGGCGAGCTCGGAGTGGTGGCTACTTTACAACACACACACAGGGACCATGGGGAACAAACTTACCCACCCTCCAGAAGGAAGGACTGCTGCAGCACATATTCAGGGATGATTTGAGGCTCTACAGATACACAAATAAGCTACATTTTTGTTAAGATTTAATTCCTGAGTTTAGTGTCACTTTTTAAAGGGACATTTTCAAATTCATCTTTAAAGGTGAATCCCAATAAAACACAATTTTTCTGTTCTATTTTAAGAAGAGTGAAGCGCAGTTTCTGCATTAACATTACTTTTTTTTCCATACCCTTATTTCATTGATTTACTGCTTTTCAATCACCTGGGGCACCTCTTCCTCTGGGCACACTACCTGGGTGATCATGTGTTTGTTATTTGTTTGGTCAACCACTCATTGCGGACGCCAAGATGATTAATGCTTACTAGCCAGGTTCTGCTTCTGCTTAAAGAAAGACTGTAGTAAATCAGTTGATGGGGGATAAGGTGAACCAAGCAGAAAATCTTAATTTTAGTTAAGACCAGCACAGAGCAGATTGCTCTCCAATAAGGTCCCACCACTGTCATTGCACTAGTGTTTTTTAGAGGACTTTGGGGTGGTTAATCTTCATATTGGGAAAAATTTGATATAGGGCAAACCAACTGAGTAAAAAAAACTCCCTGAAAAGAATATCAATTCAATTTAATACAAATTCCAAAGGGGTATTGAACCCTAAAAAATATGGAAAAAAAGAACTAACCCCCAGTAAGGATATATTCCCCTGGGAAAAACATATTAAAAAATGTGCAGATTTATTAAATGGAAATACATATTTCTAAACCTTAAGATTAATACATCTGCCCTGCTTAATATCGAATGTTATATAGACCTAGGTCTTCATATTGACCCTCAATCATCGGAACTCACTGACAGTAAAATGCTCTGTGTGCAAACTTTTACCAGTCACTGGAAAGAGGTCATGGAAAGAAGTATTTGTTACAGCCCCCATGTTCAGTCCTACTAAGCTCAAGTTCTAAGAAGTCACATTTGAACTGTTGTCTATTATGCGGCCCGTGTTTTTTTTCTTTTTGTCCTTTCTGCTATTAGGATGTATGATCCTGTTCTGGATTGTCTTCCTTGACCTTGAAATGTAAATGGCACTTAACTCTTTGTCTAAAATGAATAGCATAAACGACTGACTTTAAATGCTGAAATTAAATTTTTTGATCATTGCACAAGATTTTGTAGTATTTTCACTCATTTCCTGTATATTAGGGATGCACCGAAATTGAACTTTGAGACCGAAAATAAATAAAAATTGTCAGACCAAAACGGAAAATCGAGTTTTTCTTTCCAACTTTTTTAAAAATGTTTACATTATTTTTTTTTTTTTTAATTTACAAAGATTTTTATTGAGATTTTTCAAAAGTGAATAAATACAGCAAGTGACAAAGCGTCGCTGATTGGCGAGCAAACAGGGTTCATGTCATCCAGGTAGTAAACATACATATTAAAAAAATATATAACATCTCAACCAAAGAGCATATGGTATTATCCAATAGGAAAAGGTAGTGCAAGAGCTTGATTAATATGCAAAGGATAAACCTCTATCACAGATCGGATGTAAACATATGTTCACGGCTCCTGGACTACGCAATGCAACCACATCGTGGAAAGAGACAGATGAAGAGGACAAGGGGTAGCACAACAATGAAAGAGAGAAAAGAAAAGGGAATAGGAAGTAGTCCCGGACAAATTATTTTATTTATTTTTTTACTTTACTGTTGGGGGGCTTTGGGGAAATATTAGACCCCTGATATTTCCCTTTTAAAATAGAAAAAGAGATTGAGGACACAGAATCCTTAATCTCTTAATTCTGCAGCCCCTGTTATGGATAAACAGGAAGAATCTATAGTAAGTGTTCCTGTTCATTCATAAACTGAGGATATAGTATTTACTATGCTATAGAGTTACTATGTCCACAATCGTGAATTATTATACAGGATTTATATAGCGCCAACAGTTTGTGCAGCGCTTTACAATATAAGGAAGACATTACAATACAATTCAGGACAAGCTGGTAAGGAGAACACTGTCCGTGAGAGCTTACAATCTAAAAGTGAACAGGAGGTGTTGTCGATCACTTCCTATTCATTCATAACTGGCACATTGTATGAGTTACTGTGTCGCTATTTACAAGTCTTCAGCTAATCGCTGACTGCTTGTACCGCTCTGCATCCTGAATCGGCTGTCAGGAGGCAGAGCAGTGTGGGAGGAGAGCTCTGCCTCCTGTGACATCACAGAGCTTTCCTCCAATCACCACTCTCCATCCTGATACAGGAGGCAGAGTTGGGAGGAGAGCTCAGGCTCCTGCAACGCTGACAACGATCTCCTCCCCCACTGCTCGAATTTTCGGCCGTCATGGCATTTTGCCAAAAGTGCCATTTTCAGCCGAAATGTTTTGGCGGCCGAAATTCCGGTGCATCCCTACTGTATATAGACTGTAAGGATGACACTGTAAACAATGCATTAGATATTCACATGAAATGTTATGCATAAAGTACAAATTCAGATAATCTAATTATCAGCAATGAATGTAAAGTTAGTTTTGTTTTGCCTTTTGTTAGAGAACTGTATTTTGTTTGCCTTTTGTAGATTTGCCTGTGTATCTAGAGGGTTTTCAGTGCTGTAACATAAAAAGTCACCAGACTGTAAAGAAACCAAGGCTTTCTGTCACATGAGCAAATGTATTGCAGCTACAAAATCTCTCCTAGAAGCTTTTTGTTACTAGTATAATATGAATTGCAGCAATGGAATGTTTTTGGCGCAGGTTGGAAAATTCACTTTTTAGCAGCATTTTAAGCTAGCTATAAAATCGCTAACTTCAGTAGCTAATCTCTTTTTTTTTTTTTTTTTTTTTTGTTTAATGTTGCATATTGTGATCACGTTATACCTGCTGTTTGTAGCTGCATCAAATTATATTTTATATTGTCTTCAGGTAATATTTGTGTGTGTTGTCTAGGGATTAGTTTGATGTCAGCATGAGAAGAGAAAAGGAAGAGCAGCAAAGAGAAGGGAAACAACCATGGATTACATTAAGGCGCACACTACAGTATTGTTTTATGTTTAAAAAAATCTGAGGATTTAATGTCACTTTAAGTGCTATAGCTAGATTGCAGAGACATGTAGGCTATACCTCAAATGTGAAGGATATACATGGTCAGTATTGTAAGAATAGTTCCTATGATGCCCTTCATAAATATTTTTTGCCCTCATAGATAAATATCTACAAAGTTAAACAACGCAGATCTGGGAATTGGGCTAGAACACTGTTATATTGTATAGAACCCATTGAGATTTCAAGATCCATTTTTAGACTAGCAGTTATGTAGATTTCATATACTGTGATAAAACACTATTTGCTTCTTCAATAACTCGGCATGGTGAGCCTTTTTACTTTATACTTTAATACTTCTGACATGCTGTGTGAAATTGTTCCAGTTGTCATTTACACTTAACATAATGTGTGTCAGTAGTAATGCAAAAAAAAAAATTTGACAAGTGGTACTTGAGTATTGCTGAAATGTAAAATGGTCACATTATCAAGCGAGTGAAAAGGTGGGTAGTTGCCTTATGTCTGTGGGTACTTTAAGCTTACAGGACAATCTGTGTGGACACATCTGGAATAAAAGAAGTGGTCATTTCCAGAAAAGTAAACAGTGGGAGTAGATTTTTTTCTTTATTTGCTTGTAAATACATGTGCCTCATTAAACACGAGCAATAGAAAGCAAATCTGAAACTCCTAAATGAATACATATACTCATAAAATGAAACTTGGGATGTGTGAAATCTCTGGCTGCAGCAGCATCACTGGGGGACCCACTTTGTATGCCTCCTTCTTGACTCCACACTATGCGTGTTACCCGTAGAGTTGACTAATAAAGCATTACTCTTCACGAAAGTTTGTTCACTGAAGTTAATAGTCAGCAGCCTACTAATCCTTGCAGGTTCCAAGCATACACAGTGCATTCAGAAAGTATTTTACATTTTGTTATGTTGCAGTCTGATACCACAGTTTAAATTCCTCTCTCTCATATATTAGTCTACACTCAGTACCCCATAATGACAAAGTGAAAAACAAATTTTAGAAATGTCTGTGAATTTATTAAAAAGAGGAAAAAAACGGAAATATTGCATGTACTGAAGTATTCAGACCCTTTACTCAGTACTTTGTTGAAGCACCATTTGGCAACATTTACAGCCTCGTCTTTTTGAGTATGACGCGACAAGCTTTGCACACCTGGATCGGGGGATTTTTGGCCATTCTTCTTTACAAATCCACTC